AATGATATCTCGCGGCGAAAAGTAAAGTTCCAAAGTCAGATCTGCCAATATCGAAAAAAATAAATTTTCCGCACCCACGAGATTTTATGACGTCATTGATGGAACTAGATGTGTCACGCAGCACACTGCGTGCTAATAATGGAACAATTTTTCAGTACTGTCAGTGCATATCGGAACACACTTTTGATATCTAGCAAAATAAGAAACGTATTCAAGATATAACAATTTTTTTTTTGCTCATTTACTTCGCGCTTCTGTTGGTATTTGGTATCGTCTGTCTGTCGGCGCAATTACGCGAAGCACAATTGTCAATTAAACATAATTGACACACGACGAAAAACGAAACATGATAAAATAATCGAGAAAGATGTGGGGAAATTACAGGGGCATCTATAATGTACTGTGCGTTTTAATCTCTGTTGTTTACGGACACGATTTTCGACACATTAAAATCTCATTAACCCCTCGGTACATCCTCACAGCTAATTATTGTTTGTAATACCGGGGGCGCGCGCACCCTCGATACGACCGTGAGCGCGCCGCCCGCCGGCCACAGCGCGTGATTGGTCGCAAAAAGAGTGATACGGAATTATTAGTAAGTATAATCGAACGCTTCTCCATAAATTTGTGATTCAAACGTGCTTATATTTGCGAGTAATGATTTCGTTCTTTATCTAAATTATATACGCGTGACGTGTATCTTTTTTTGCAGAAACCTCACTCGAATGCGGAACCATATTTTATAACTACAGCTAATAATGAACAATATAAGTGCTTAATCCCAGATGCACCGGAACAGGAACACGAATACAGTGAATCGTATAACGGACCAAATCCGATACAACTTTTGCAACCAATATTTGCTCAAAACAGTTGCTCTTACAGGGTATGTGTTTGTACATTCTTGTGTAATTCTCTATATAATTTCTCATTCTTTCTGTCCATTGTGTCATTTTTATTAATAAACATATGTTGTTGTACATTGTGTAATTGTCCGAATTTAATTTTGTCAAACAGCTTGAATCATATTGGACTTATGAATTATGCCATGGTAAATATGTGCGGCAATATCACGAAGATAGGGAAGGAAAAAAAATTAAGTTGCAGGAGTATTATCTTGGCACTTTAGACAAGGCACAAAAATTGAAACTCTCGGCTTTTTATGATGAACAAGCAAAGAACCCTAACAGAAAATTAAATATACCAATTAAAAAGATTGATGGTATTAATATGCCATATGTCGAAATTGAGATGATTGATGGTACGATGTGTGATTTGAATAACAAGCCAAGAACCATCAAGGTGTTATATGTCTGCTACAGACATGGTAAACATGACGTGTATTCACTCAAGGAAACAATGACCTGTGAATATGAAGCAGTAGTGCTCTCACCAGCACTATGCAGTCATCCAGATTATAAACCGCAAGATACTGGAGAAAATGAAATTACATGTCAGCCTGTTGGTAATGCACCAAAGAAACCAAAATCGCTTATGTTGATGGAACTAGAAAGTATGAAAACGCGCCATCAACAAACAAGGGTAATTTTGCGATGAATATTTAGCACTTGTAGATTTTTTTCTACATCTGCTTATTTTGTATATTTAAGTATTGTTTGATGTATATCTTTTGTTATATGTGTTAATAATAATTATCTTTAATTTTTATTAATTTTAGAGTTGGAAAGAAATTATTTTGTAAAAATATTTAAATGTTAATAGCAGATTTGTATTACATACTAAAAAATATTTCAGTGACCTTATATCTTTTGAAAACTTAATAGAACAACATAGAAAAGTGCTTATATATCACTATATATCTAATCTGATAACTAATACATCTTATTTTAATTAAGGCTTTAACAATTCTTTAAGAAGTATAATAGAATTCTACGCAATAGAATATTTTTCCTGACTTTTTAATTTTAGGTACTAAACAATTTTTTGTTTTCTTTTTCTAGTTTATTTGCTGTTTATTTATTGTCTTAATTATTTGTTGCACAGGATGACAAGCAGCAGAAAGTATATGCAATCTTCCGTGTAGATAAGGAGGGCCAGGTTAGAATATTTTGTATATATTGGGAGAAAAGGGGAAGGGAGGATTAATGCTTGTCAATCATGTAGTATCATTAACTTTTGCAAATGGGTTTTAATTCTGTCCCTTCTTTATCTACATACTTGGGCATTTTATCCGTTGTTACTTCACCAATGTTAAATTCATATTTGTTGTCATTTGGAAACATCATTATCACATTGTTATGTAGGATATAATTTCTTATCTTTACATTATCAGTGTTACATATCCTGCGCAATAACATGTATATTTTTATCATTATTATGTTATATAGTAACAGTAGCATCAAATGAAATATAATGACATCTCTTGTACATGTATACATTTGAAGTAATTTATTATATCAGTTTGCTGCATAATTGTGTCCGTGTGTATGTATACACAATAATTATTTCTTTTAAAATTAAGTAAAGGAGATTTAAAATCTTTTTTATAAATATTAATTGTGCATCTTTTTTCATATAGAATCATATAGAAAATAAATAATATAGAAAATAATATAAAAAATTGTAACAAATTGATTACAGGATGGCGAGCAAAGAGTAAGGGTTGAGATACATCCATTGGAGGATGTTACGGATAAGAATGGCAATGTCGACGAATCTATCAATGCAATAACTGATCAGAATATTAGTCCTGCCGAAGTCAGTCCTGTTCAGAGTTTCCTCAATGGAAAGAATTGCTTGCACGGGGCAAGTATTCATAATCATTATTTCTTTTATCAATATATTCTTAACAATATTTTATTATATTGATAGGGTAATGGCTGGTGGAAGTATGAATTCTGTTATGGCCGTTCTGTCGTGCAATATCATATAGAAAGAGATGGTACAAAAACGATTGTCAATCTCGGTAGATTTGATAGACAAAAACATTTGGAGTGGATTGCCGCGCATCCAAACAAGAAACCCAAACCATTAGAGTTAAGAAAACACCTTTCACATTTTTATAGCGACGGAAGTAGCTGCGATAAGACTGGAACTTCTAGACAAACTGAAGTATGCATTATTATTATGAAAGATATTTTTGGTTTTCTAAGCTAAATAAAAAATATCTTATTAATATCACACTAATTTGGCGAATAATTTTATATGCTTCATTGTTCTTTTTTATTTATGTATGGCCGATTAGAGAGTGTATCAAACTAGCGGGCTTTATGATTGTTTATTTTTCAACTAGCGTGTGATAATAATCAACGATTTACGTGTAGACACCTGTCTGATATCTTTTTGTTTATTTTTTTTTTTTTTTTTTTTTTTTTTTTTTTTTTTTTTTTTAGGTAAAATTGAAATGTGTGGAGAACCATACCGCAAGCCCATCTAGTGTATCGTTATTTTTATTGGAACCAAAAACATGTGAATACATTCTAGGAGTTGAATCACCATTGATCTGTGATATCTTAGAATATGCCGATGAAAATGGACTTTTAAATGAAAAGTTTCAAGCGAATTTCGATAAATTGAAATCTACAGCCTTGCATTTTGAGGATTTAGACGAGCGAATAGCTAACGAAGATGATTAGAGCAATTGATTTATTTCTTCGATGTCGATTAAGTCATCAAAACGTTTGTTAAGTATAAAAATTTGCATTATTATTTATTAAGTATATAATTGTATGATATAAAACATTAATATGAGTGAAATCGAAATTAATTAGATTACATATTTACGTTTGGTGTGATGTTAAAAAGACTTGCATTCCAAACTATCTAACAATATAAATATTTAATAATGCCATGTGTAATTGTTTTTCTATCATGTACAATAAATGCATATCAAAAAGGTTAATCGCGTTCTAGCGTGTGATGAAGTTTATAATGTGTGTATCCAAATATCCAAACGATCTATTGGAAAATTTTTGATTTTTTTCAGATTAAATAAGAGATATGCCAATATATTAACACGAGATACACGTAAATTAATGGAAACTTTCTATTTCGGCTTGTCTTTTCTCTATCCGAATAATATCGATACGAAATAAAAACTTGTAAAAGGGCAGTATTTCTGTGAAAATATTCAGGATCTGCAGTATAAAGTACTGTAATCCCGGTTATAGTTATAAACGACCTCGCGTTAGCCGACATTCAGACCGATCCCGACGCGGAACTGTTGCTTCTTGTGATTCAAGAAGCCGCTTATGATTAACGAGGCCTCAGGAATCGGGTATAGTTTCTTTTCGAATACAGCGCCCAGGCTGGTCTCCGAATTGACGAATCCTCGGCAGACGAAGTCCGCATACGGGATGTCGACACGATACACTATCGTGCCGATGGACTCGTGAATACGCGTGTTGGTCTCGATCTCAACGCCGAGCTGCAACTGCTCGCTCGCCTTTCGATAGTAACAGACGTGAATGCCTGCCTCGCCTAACGTGGCGGATAACGTGGTAGGGCCAGTGCTGTGCCGGAACGCAGCGCACATCACCGCCTGTTGACCGCCCGGTATAAGGGAGCCGCGTAGATAGGCGATCTCTGTGCCGAGGGTGATCCGCGGCGTGACGGCTTGTAGATAATGCAGCACCAATGTACCATGCAACCTGGTGAGATCCGGATTCGCCAGGGTCATCGCTATCGTGCAATCGTCCGAGCGATACTCCAGGCCGGAACTAAAGGCCTTGTATTTCTTGTCGGCGATCTGCGTCGCGAGTTTGAATCTGTATCTACAGCCGAGCGTGTGCACGAAACTGGCGCTCAGATTGCCACTGGGTGTGATCTCGCCCGAGATGACCGGGTATTTCTCCGAGAATCCCACCCTCTTGGTACCAATGTAATTCACGCCGAATTTGAGACCATATGGTGTCACAGAACTCAGAGTCATCCTGTATGTCACGTTGAAGTGCTTACTCAGGGTCTTTTTCAGCAGCAAGTAGGCGCCTTCGAAATTCTGTGGATAGAGCTCTTTGGTTTTCGCGTGAAGGTCCTCGAAGCTGCTGGGATTGCCGGGTTTCCTGTCCACTTCCTCGAAGCAAGGAATACATGGCGGATCTTCTAGATTGGTGGGGGTTACAAAGATCTCGGTGCGTTTGTTGATAAGCGCTTGGACACTACCCATAATGATGGAAATATTAGCTTTCGATGTTTAACCGATATATCTCAATTAGATATACAAGCCGCATATTCGATACGCATCGACCTTCATTCTGTATTTAATTTCATCGTATCGGTGATCTTGCCGAAAATTTTATTATTGATAAAATAATTTTAGTGATAAATATAGACAATTTAATAATATAGTTTATTTTTTTAACTTCCAGAAATAAAATGTGATCGTCAAGTATAGAATTATAAATTTTACAAGGAGACAATATATATATGTGTGCCTACTCTGTACATTCAAAAGTATTAAAACTTTATCTGACAAAGCGTTTAAAGCACTTAGATATTTAGATTAGATATCTTTAGATTGATCCAACTAAACATATCATTATCATACGTTATCACAATATCGATCATAAGTTGTCTCAATATATAAACGAATAAAAGGATAACAGTAAAGAAAGAATCTCTCCTTTCTTAATGGTGAACATTTTTTTTTTTTGCTTCAACGCAATTACTTATGAACGACGAAATGAGAAACGTGATTTGTATTTTGATATTGCTCTCTGCAGTTTATGTAAGTTCTGCAAATTCAGTGTAATCATTTCTCTTGATTGAAAAAAAGGAATAAAAAATCTAATTCAATCATTTTAAAATAAAGTATATCAGTGGACAAATCATAAAAAAATTTGCCATATTTAATTAATTAATTAAAATTTTTTATCAGAAATTATATCGTTAATAGAAATATTACATAAAAAATTTTGTAGCTTTAATTTGAGCTATTTATAAAAAAAATATTTAATACATCTTTACATTAAATTTCTTTATGCAAAATCTTTAAAGATAAGCCAAATTATTATTTTTATATATCATATTATAATAACGAAGTTGTTATCTTACATTTTTTCTTTAAGGCGTCGGAGCAAGATGTGACCGATTCCTCTTACTATCTCGAACGATTGGTGAACATCCAAAAAAGGATCACTGAAGCTATACTGAACGATGTTTTACTTTTCGAAAAACGAATAAAGCAAAATCTAGAAGTCAGACTCAATGATCTGAGAATTCAGACTTTGCTTAATGTTAATAATATTATCGATTTAACATTCGAGAATATCAATGTGAGTATCCTTTATTTTGTTCAAATTTGACAAAAAAATGAGAAAAAGGGAAGACAAATGCACATGTGCTAGTTGTATCATAAAATGGGAAATATTTTGAATTATAATTAAAATATATCGAAAATGGATGCAAGAAGAATCTTGCATCCATTTTTAAAATATATTTTTGTGAAAAACATGCACAATTCACATATGTAACAAAAATACATTTGCATATTTATTATCTTCATAGCTATCTATTGAAGAGGGGAAAAAAGAGGGGAAAAAAATAGACGAGTGCTACGATTATGCAAAGCATAATCTGGGGACAAAGAAATATAATACAATTGCTCAATTGGAGATATGCATCCAGAATGGCAACGTGACCATGGGAACCCCATTAACGAAACTGGCGAAGAATATTAAGGTAATTATTAATACTTCAATATGTAATTAAACGTACTTCATATTATCGTACTCATATCTCTATAACTATACTGAAATACTGATTTTACTAATCTTTATTCAATCAACTGATGTTTTATAAAATTACGTTTTCATTGTTAATAACTTCGTCACTTGAATGTATTTTACACAGAACGTTTAGTACATCCTGTATAATTACATTATAATAATACAGATAATGTGATAGATATTATGTAACTTGTAATAATATCTTTTCAGGCAATACAGGCATTGCTGATCGAATTAGATGTCATCATCCCCAACTGTCACTCCTCGAATTTTATTAAAATGCAGCGCTGCATCACAATGAATCTCTTCATGATCAGATCGTCGTTGAAGAGTATCAGTAATAATACCAAAACGTCGGTGAATATTGTCATAATCGCGCATACAAATATGATTAGAGATGTGAAAAGTAGCACAATGAAGCTTGTCGTTGATATCCGCATTTTCAGCACAGATATCATTGTTCGTACTAACAGTTGCATAAGAAATGCATCTACAGACAATCCCAAATCAACAAATAATACCAAACTCATCGCCATCTATTAATTCTTCATCTCGAAATTTTTAAAAAGGTGAGAAGAAAAGCCTATAGTTTAATATAAACTTCTAAGTAATTTTCATTTAAATTTCATTTTTTCATGTATATTTTACTTTTAATTAAAAACATTAATCAATGATCTGAAAATATTTGACATTTGGTCTTTAAAACAGATTGCAACGTCCTCAATTTTCGAGTAAATAGTTTATCAAAAACTACGGATTATAACCGTGCACTGTGTATTGAAAAACATTCGATTAGCTGACTTTATTGTTAATGTATATTAATTGCTCACTTATATCATATAGAAGCAATATATTTGCAATATAGGAATAAGTGGAAACAGTAGCAATCTAATAGTAGTGGCAACAATACTGGCAATAGTAACAGCAATAATAACAATAATATTATTTATAATTATATTTATCATTAACATACTTCGATAGAATTATACATATCATTAATTATAATCGCCATGGTTATGATTATCTTTACTTATATACATGTGCATACGTATATATATGCATAGACCCATAAAAACACACTCGATAGTGCGGATGTTTCATCGTCATATATATATATACAGAGTATGTCAGAAAGTTGCGCATCTCCCCTTCCACTATAGTACTCCTCGACAAATATGAAGTCACTTCTTTTTTTAGTGAAACTTTGATTGAACTTTATCTCTTGTAGTACATCTGTATTATATTTTCATATCAAATATCTTGACAATTGTGCCTCAAAAAAATTTAGACTATTAGATTTTGTCATTTTCGCATCTCTAAAACTTTTAATTCAAGTCTTTTAGATATTAATTGTATAACAATGAAAAGCTATTTTTTTTGATAGCTGATCGAGTTATCATTCTTCTTAGTTTGCAGCGTACAGTATAACTATAATCTAGAAAATATGGGATTTATGGGACACCCTACATGTGCATATATATTTCACGCATTAAACGTTTTATTTCATAAGAATGTTATATGTACACAGGGTGCCTCAGAAATGGCGGATATTATCAGTAACTGAGATTTCGCAGGAAACATTCACGCGATAAGTAATTTAACGCAAAACATCTTCATCAAATAGTTTCATTCTGCCCATCAATGGCTTATACAATTGTTAATCAAACATAACTTGGAATGGGAGAAGATTTTATATTAATGTATAATCTGCGAAATAAAAATTTTGGAGCTTCCTAATTATAATCTGGAGATTGCAAATTATCAAAGATTACAATCGCGATTTGGATGGCAATTACTGATACCGCAATGCATAATATGTGCTATATTGCCGCTACACTAAAAAGTATGCTTACCTTGCCCTATCCCTTTCTCTTTTTCTAAGAAATCGAATTTTAAAACATTTAACATATCTTAATGAGCACGCAATTATTTTTTTTACTACAAAGATCTAAGACAATATTATTTAGATATTTCTCCTTGCCTGCATAAACTATATAAAAGCTCGCTTCTTTCATGAAAATAAATATCACACACTATTAAGATTATAATTATTGTTCTAACAAAGACTATATAGGTAGAATTAAAGTATTAGTGCATACTTATTGATATGGCTATCAGGATATAAAGATTCATATTTATAACGATGAATTGTCCTAAGTGGATTATATGTTGTCTTATTTACAAAATATAGTCTGCATAGAATTGTTGCTCAATAGACCATACAATTGACGACTAATTCACTGCGCACTGGGATCTCATTATCTCGCGTACAGTAAAAAATCTTAAAAACCGATATACGTCGCGGTACAAGGAGAAGAATCTCGCATTCAGAAGATAAATCTGGGTCTTTACAGAAAAATTTAAAAAATATCTTTTTTGCAAGAACTATTACAGACAACACATCCAGCGATGAGATATTTTTTATATAAGTTACGTTAGCAACGAATTTTCTTCTTTTTCTTTTAAATTGGGATAGCCGATATATAAATATCCCTAAAAACGGTTTAAAATAATTATTTATATGAACAAAATGTAACATATTTAACATTAATATGTGCACAACAAGTCGAAATTAATATAATTTTATATATTTCAATATCTAATAATTGAGAATTTTCAATAGAAAGAAAAGATTGAGAAGTTTATACACCATGCATCCGTGTGAATCTCAACTTATTAAGATAGCTTGTGAGACATATTATAAAGTATCTTAATAACTTTATTGTAAATTCATCTTATCTTCCTTCTTCATTTTTATTCTGACAGCAAATATTCGATTCTGTCTAAGAATAATAAGCTATATACTAGAGCTTCTCTGTAAATGCAATTGTATTTAACAAATTATGAGCAAATACTTTTATTATAATTTATTAACAGTACCACTAACTGTGTGTGTGTTCCCGACCTATATATTATCCTCTCTGGTGCAATATATATATATATATAACGATTCCTATATATATATATATTTATATATATGTATCTCGTTTGGAAATCTTGAGATTGTTTTGGTGAAATTAGTTCAACAATAAATCATCAAGATTGAGATAAGAAAAATTCAATTGTTTCGCCATATATCCAATAAGAGAGCATTACAATACTTAAAAACAAGATGCATATCCTTCATTTAAAGGATAACTATATATAATAAATTTAAAGGATAACATAGAGGATCTACATATTACGACAAGTCCAGCGGGAGTACATAATTCAAGATTGCGATATTTTTTAGGTTAGGAAGTCGGATAAATATATCTTATTCCCATATACATTTACAAAAACAATTTTATACATATATGTATATATCGATAGTTTGTACACATCCCGTTACGTATGGATTTAATTCGTTACTTTTTACCGTGCATGAATGATTGTTTCAACAAAAGTATTTCAAGAATATTGAAACATTTCGCGAATAGAGGAAGATTGTATAACACATTGAAATGAAGAAATATACTTGGGACTTCCTGCACACATAAAGCTCATCGCAATATATTCTCCACGTCCTTTATGCACAGGTGACGTAAATGTAGAATCTGACCTGTGCATCTTTATTAGTCATCCAAGAGATATTACCGCTGTGCCGAGACCTAGCAAGCACACGAATCACCTCTACCGTTGCTTCTTTGGTCGTTGCTCAATTTGATTTGATCAGGAAATTCATTGTAAAGTTCAACCTAGAATTTACAAAATGTAGAGATTAGATTCGCATATATGGTGAAAATATATTCTTCTACACTGTCTGTTTAGTATACTTACTTCACTTTCTTGAGCTAAAGCATTCTTAGCTATCGTTTGGAAAGCCTGCTCGACATTAATAGCCTCTTTTGCACTAGTTTCAAAGTATGGAATATTATTCTTTGATTGACACCACTGTTGTGCTCTCTTGCTTGATACCTATAACACAGGGCATAAAAAAATGTATGAAATGAAAAGAATGGATCAATGGAAATTGCAATTTTAAAGCTTAAATTGATAAATTATTAATTTATAAATTATAAATTTTTTATACAATTTATTTATTACATTACACAAAAATAATTTTACTCACTGCTCTTGATTCAAGATCTACTTTATTCCCGAGCACGACGAACGGAAAATTATCTGGATCCCGAGGAGAAGCTTGAATTAAAAACTCATCCCTCCATGAATCTAGAGATTTGAAGCTAGTTGGAGCAGATACATCAAATACAAGTACGCAACAATCAGCGCCTCTGTAGAAGGCCACTCCTAATGATTGAAATCTTTCTTGTCCAGCGGTATCCCAGATCTGAGGTAAAGAAAACACTTTAGAGATATAAAATAATAAAATTAAAACTGATATATGTACACATTACCTGCATAGTGACTATTCTATCCTCCACCATTACTTCTTTAGTCAAAAAATCTGCTCCTATTGTTGCTTTATATTGATTACTAAACTTCTTATTGACATACTGATTCATCAAAGAAGTTTTTCCAACTCCTGAATCCCCAAGGATAATAACTTTTAGCAACACTTTCTTGCGGGATGCCATTTTTGGCTGTAAAGATATAAAACAATGTTAAGAATTAATTTTTGTAATAATAAATACTTGAAATTAGAATTATTGTATAATTTTAAGATAGATACACAATTGTGTGTGTGTGTGTGTATGTGACTAGTTCAGATATGTATTTATTTATCATCAAGCTATAGAATAACATCTTTTTAATCCCATGTTGTAGATGATTCATAATTAGAGAATAAATTTAATAAATAATTTTGACTTTTAGATTAAATTTTCTAGCATTATAAAAAAAACTTATATCAACATAAATTTTGCGAACTTTTATCTATAAAAAAGAAGAAATATTTAATACATTAAAAGTTCAAGTATATAATAAATTTCAGCTAATAAGATATAAATATATACATCAATTTTTTATTATATATAATAGAAATTTTATGTTTTTTTACTTTGAAGGATTTTTCAAATTGGAAGAAATCAAATTTAAATATTACAATCGCTTTCAGATTAAAATGTCATTTTCTATACTATGGTTTCTGGTACACTATGTAAAGGAAAACTTCAATGATTTTGATTGTTTCTAAAAATATTTTATACATAAATTAATTAATAAAATATATAACTTTTTTATTTTATTATTGAAAATTTGATAATGATAAAGAATATAAACACACCATCAAATACTTTTTGGATTGTAAATATCAGAAAAGTCAACTTTTAATGTATTATATACTGTCCATATATCTTCTCTATTATTTACTTGACATATCATGTATATCAAAACAATGAACCCAATATCCACTACTGCATGAAAAATCCGATGCTGATATCTTAAAGAAATGATTGATCCTATGAATCATCTAACAACGTGACGATGAAAGTACATCTCGGAGTAACAATGACGTATGTATATGTACAACGCACTCGCGAGAAGAAAAAAAAGGACCGAATGACTTTCCTCGCGAAGTTTTTTAAGCGCGAGTTTTTTGGCGGTCAACGTTGAACGACACTTCTGGAAATCCGTGTTCCAGGATCCGTGCCGAGTATCGCGACGCATACGAGGAGCGAGTGACGCGACAGGGAGAATACGACGAGCGAGATCACGTCGCGAGCAGAATCCGTTCAACTGCGCGATGCTCCGCGGAAACCTGTCACACGCGAGCGAAATATATCCGAGGCTCGATTCAACGCGACGATCGCACGACGTAGGATATACGCACGAGCGTGCGACGTGCGTGGTTCGGGGGACGACGTAAACGTTGGATATCGCGTCGTGCGTTACCTGAAAAACTCGGTAGAAAATATCGACGTGCAAACGCTTCGCGCTCCCAGCACACTTTACACAAAGAAAATGGCGTGTTATGAAATCACGAGTATGACAACGATGTCGTCACCTGTTCTTCGCCTCCTTTATCGACCGAGTGTAATACGCGTATCGTATTCGCTTCAGAGATCGATACAGACGTATCTCGATATACTCGCGATCACGGACTGTTTTAAAGGCCTATTCATACGCCGCACCAGTCGAGAGTCTGTCAAATATTCGACGCGTGGATTGGTCGAAATGATCGCGCGCACAGAAACGAATCGGTCAATCTTGACATTTGTGCTAGTACCTCACTTCATCTCATAATGTACTACATACGCCATCGCTGGATTTCTCTGCCAATGCGCTGCGCATGCGCGAGAAAGCGTCCCCGAGAACAACACTGTCTCATACTGCGCCAACTTGTCGGCATCGCGAGGTTCCTCGAGTAAGAAGCGACGAGAATCTTTTTTTACACATCAACTATTTCCGGAAAAACGAAATCTGTCGGCAACGCGAGCTCTTCCTTGAATACTTAGGTGAGAAGCGATACATTTTCTTTTATTACACATCAACTATTTCTTTCTCTCTCTCTTTTTCTATGGAATATATTGTAAAGTTACATCTTTATAACCGCCAGTTGTTGGTGGTAGTAGATGGCGCGTGCAGCGGCCTCCTGTTACGTGATTGGTCGCTACTGCGATAGTAGCGCCAGAAAGTGTGCGCTTTAGATATCAGCGTCTCATTGGACGAGCCCCCTCCCTATGATCGTTACTTGGCGGGAAACGGCCATAGCTCGGGGATCTGCGTATCCGGCCGTCATAGCAGTAAAATATGCGAAATAAAAGGCACTGTTTTGGTATACCGACACCTTTGGGATATATTGTTGATGTTGGTAGAGGGTAAGTTTTTTCATGTATAACATATGATTATAAATAATCGTACAATTACCGAGTAAAACTATAGCAATCAAGATGCAAACATATATAGTTAACTTCTCTTTCTCTTTGCAGAGCTACAGAATTTACAATATCTGATATCGGTCCCACTCGAGATGCTAATGACGTTTCGTAAGTAGAAAAATATATTCCTTATTAGAAGACAACTCGACAAATGTGACATTCTCTTACAAATTATCGTACATTATTATTTATTCTGAATGCAGAGACGAAAGACACGTTGCACCCACGAAATGTGCAAAGATGGAAGAAGAGGAAGAAGCTGAAAAAGATGTAGATGATAACAATTATGACGAATTTTTATGGAGGTTCCCTATTTAGTAAAGTAAGTAAAATTATTATTTTTCTTTAATTCGAGAAATTTGATAATGGAAGGCTGTGAGGTAAATCCCACTTCTGAGGATCTATGGTTGGAAACTGCGAGAGCAGCTTTGTCCGCGAAGGCGGACGTCGGAATGTGTCGCACCGATAGCATAGCACAACCGGTGCGACACATTCCGACGTCTATCAGAATCTGAATAAAGGCCGCGGAATTGGAGAAGGAAGTAAAAGTGAAAAGAAGAATGAATCGAAAGGCCCTTCGAAACATTTCCCGAATTCAGTGCAATTGTGGGAAGCTGCCGTCAAATTGAAGGCGTTTGCACGACTGAGCAAAATGCATGCATCCTCGTACATGCGAGCCCGAGAATGCATGTATTTTGCTTAGTCATGCGATTGAATGCTGTCCGACTAGTGTGGCTTTATGGCTCACTCTCGCTAGATTAGAGACCTACGACAATGCGAAAATAGTCTTGATTTTTTATATCTGTCGGGATATTTTCTTGAACAAGGCCCAAGAAAATATCCCGACAGATATACAAACTTGGACTACCTCCGCGAAATTGGAAGACGTAAACGGCAATAAGCACATAATAGAGAAGATTATCAATCACGCTATATCTTCGCGAATGGGGTGGAAATCAACAGGAAATACTGGTTCAAGGAAGCTATTGCAGCTGAGAAGGCGGGAGCGATGCATTGTTATCAAGTTATTTTCAAGGCTATTATCAGTTTTGGAGTAGAAGAAAAGGATAAAAGCATACTTGGATGGAAGATATGGAAACTGTAAGGCACTGTCTATTGTTTGTTTATATAATGAAAATGATAGGCATGAAAATTAATATCTATATTGAGAAATATATATATTTTGTTGCAGTATGCTCAATAAGGGGCATTAGAATGCGCGAGAGCTGTCTATGCGCACATTTCCTAATAAGATATCAATTTGCCTGCACACGGTTTATTTCAAAAAGACATGTGGTACGCGAGAATCTTTGGAAGCTTTGTTACAGAAAGCAGTCGCTGATTACCCCAAGAGTGATGCGCTGTGGCTAATGGATGCTAAGTCCAAGTTGGCTGTGAGTAGATTTACATTTAAAATTTTAATTTGAGATAAATATTAATTTTTTTTTTTTTTTTTTACTAACTTAATTAAGATACACAATGTGTAAAAGAAAAGTGTCATATATTTTTTTTATACATTTATACACGCAGATCAAAAAATGTTTGTAACAGTTACCGTTCGTTTGTATAAATTATCAAAATGGGAAATAAACGAGAAATTTGGTTACGTTTATTTAAATTCACAAGCAAAAGTTAAGTTGCCTTTATTGAAATTTTAATCTTCCTTGTTTCTATTCTACTCCCAGTGGAAATAATATGTTAAATTTGAACCGAAACAGAATCGGATTGAAAACTTCGGTGGAAACTACACCAGTATGATTTATTTCTTTCCCCTATTATTTTCTCTAGAAGGCGTAATTCAAATCCGAGCGTAGGTCTCGCGTCACCTCTTATCGACATTGTGTGTTCCTAATACTTCGTCGGCTTCTCGGTAATCCATTTTTCCGATTCTCTCATTGTGTTTCCCGCGCGATTGAGTAATTAATCTATCTTTCGTTGTGCAATCTCACGTTATTTTCTAGTAAAAGCTATAGACAGGATGTGAGTATTTCAAAATTTATATTACCTATTTTGTCTCAAAGAAAGTAATTTTATATGTGCTAATCGAATGAAATTCATGTTGAATATATTTTTTATGTACATATTTCAAACGTGATTTTTTCGATATACACATATTTTTACACCGATCTGTTGATAATAGTTGATGATAGACAGATACTTGTTAACTTACGAATAAATCTTTTTATGTCGATAATCTTGTGTGGGTTAATCATGATTCTTGTTCCTACACATTCCGAATCTTAAAAAATTTTTATTTTATTTTCAATATGCCTAACCTAATGCAAAATATGCAAGTGTTTTTCGATTAACGTCCGATATGTCAATTTATATACATTGCTAATCTATATAAATTATAGACACACATAAAAATGTATGTCCATAATCATAAAAATGTGTGTCTAATGTATGTATAACAAATTTAATATATATAAATCTATTGTTAATGAACCTGTTGTTCACGAATTTATATAAATCTATTGCTCATTTGTGTTAACATTTACGTTGACATTTCGCGAATGGCAGCGGAATAAAATTTGTATTTTAATCGTTATCCTTGGCATTAAATATTGCACAGTTTTATGATGTAGAATGTAGACAAATTAATCAACCACTTAGTGATTCAGATTACAAAGTGCCGCAAATATTATATAAGATGTTTTTTTATGTAAAAATATATACATATATGAATAGCAGTATAAAATAAAATTGCAATTCTAATTAATACTATTCGAAATTACAATTTGAAGAAAAGTTGTTACGAGAAGAATCATAACCATATCGATGTCTTATGTAGATTTAATAATAGATAACATTTAATTTGTTATCGCGTTCGTTATTTCTTAAATTACAATAATTATATCATGAGTTACGAAATCAGTATTTAATTAATATTGCGGAATCTACATGTATCTGGATGTCACGATAACTGAGATATAATTTCGATATTAATATATTTTTATCTCTCGTTCTTTGTAATCATAACTGAAACTCGAAATGAGGAGTGACAGTAGAGATATCTGGGAGAGAAAGTAGGTCTCGTGATTTATTTGGGTAGAGACCGAAAATCTTGTTTGCTTCTCGCCTACTTTTACAACGTTAGTCATCACTTGCTTTTTTCAAAGTATGCATAAAACATTCAGGACCAGCGTTCTTCAAATATTGATGACTATTCGCGGATTCGTAAAGAAAAGAAAAATCGAACGTTTATTGTAAAATAAAAATATACGCGCGGTATTTGATCTCACATAACGTTTAATCATTATGATATTGATAATTTTTATGCAATTTTTATGTTATCTTGAATTAAAAATTTCTTTTTTAAATCAGAATTAAACGTAAGGAAATATTTTATTTTTAATCTATCAATTTTTTTCTCTTTCTTTTTTACTCAAATTTTATTATGAAAAGATTTTGCAATCACTGATTTCTTGATATTGAATAGTTACATAAAATAATATCCTTTATCTCGGAGAGATACGTTATAAAAAAAATAGAGAGCAATGCCATATTTTATATTGACCACTTTTTATATTGTCCACTTAATCATACATAACATTCTCATATTTATATAAATATTGATTATATATAATATTTAATTATTGCCCACTCATTTGTGAGCATTTAAAAAAAATGATCTTACATTTAGATTTTTTTGGCTGAGTTATATAATTTGATTTTGATTCCAGATCCAGAGACAAAAAATAGGAGCGAGGAAGAATCGAGGAGGACCGAGGAGAAAAGTGCAACGCAGATTCAGTTAAATAAGTAAGTTAATTTAATCACATATAATTACAATCACACATATTTGCGATACATATGCCAGATTCTGCTATGAAAATTTGTCATACGCCAAGGAAGTTTTAAGTCGACTTAACTAGAGAGGTGCGCCATTACCGATGAAATATCATTAGAAGGCGTTAAGAAAATATTTAAACTTTTCGACCACTCTCTCTCTTCCAATTGGTTCGAAATAGTATAACACAAAAGGTAGCATCTCTTTCGGCGAGTTTGGTTGAAAAGCTAAACTTGCGCCGAATTTCTTTAATGAATTCTATTATCCATTAATCTTAGAATATCTTTAGCTTTCTTTATGACATATTTTTTATACTTTTTATGTATTATTTTTTCTGATAATCTTCAGAATGTAAATTATTTTTCTGATAAACATTTCTCGAAATTATTTTCGTTACTAAATTATGTGCTCAAGGATTGAGCAGTTATAGAATTTGGGAAAAACTAGCGAGCGCATATTTTTTGACGAGTTAAGGGGTTAAAAATAAGATTACGAGAACGAAATTGGGGGAAATGAGTGCATCGGAAGTTATTTTATCGTGCTCGTGATTTGCAAAGGCGCGGTCTGAAATTTGTATATAATTAGCTTAATCTGGATCATGTATATGGAATCGGATCACGTTGGACGGTGAGCGGTATCACGGTATGGCCTCGTCGCATCGGCATAAATGTTACATAATCCTATTGAACAATTGATGAGCAATTAGTAGCTACAGATAGCCGATATATGAAGAAATCTCTGTGGTCGTATCTAACGCAAAGCGACATTATTCGATTACTATTTATACGACAATTTACATTTTTTTCGAGAAAATCTGACACAACGAACCGGATGTCGAAACAGTCAAAACATTCCAGAATTTCATTTAAATACATCTCATGTATTTGTATATGTATACGCGATTATATCTCGACGTTGTGCTAGCTGTCTACTGTGAAAGGAACCTCTATCAAGAGTATCGCTCTTGGAAAATAAAATTCTCGAATATACGTTCGACGCGTGATTCGCCGTTTCACGTGTCGATAGATCGGGCAGTGTTCTTTGATGTTAAAATGAATCCGGGTCCAATTAATCTCATCGAGGAGGCTACACCGCAACTTTCTCCCCGGCGTAGCTTTTTTTCGGCGCTACCGATTTAGGCTTTCGGTGCAGCCTCCGGTTGCGCGTTTTCGGCTTCCGTTCCGGTCGGTGGCGGCAGAGTCGGGATATCCGGGTATTCGAGTTTAACGCCGTCCTCGCACTCGAAAATCGGACAACAGTCGGGGAAATTCGCGGTTTTGTTGGTCTTTTCGGAGAGCTTGCACTTGGGGTTGGCCTTGGGCAATGGGCCGCAGTCCTCCACTAGCTCAAACAGACGACCGGAATTGTCGTCGGCGGGCACGCAGGTAGAACGGCCACAGAACGGCGACAGCTCCCACGTCTTCGTCGGCTCGATGGTCGCGCACTTGGTCGACGCGAAGCACATGCCGGGGAAGTCTGTAACATGTAGCGACATTGTTTTGATTAGGATGCGATTTATTAATTAAGTAAAAGATTGAACGAAGTAGGATATTAGATTGATTTGATGGCTTTTCTCATTGTCGACATTTTATTATTTTATGATAAACGTAACAGAACGCACTGCGCGATTATTTATATCAATGATAAAATTAAAAGTGCAAATCTATTTGCAGATTCTTTTCATGAACCGCGTACGATTTTCACCGACGATGATGCATACGGGATATGAGAGTAAGAGGCCATTCATCAACGGTGAACGGATGAAACGCACGGAGATTGCATTTCCTTAATAACGTGCTCGCTCGCGTGCGCATGCATTATCTCGTTACCTCGTCACGCGCGAAAAGTGTCGTTACTTTCTAATGCGCCGTGCGCATCAGACCTAAGCGGTGTTAATGTTCGCCACAGCTATAATATTACTAATTAACTGAATGACGAGGCCGATAAAAGACCTGACGTGAAAGAACAAATGCGATAAGGAACTCTTAATATCGTCTTGCACACCCGACGCGCAATGTAATTAACGTTGTCGGTGATAACGATCGGAAACATTTCATATAGGATTTCTTTCACTCGTGACGTTTATCTTAACGGCTAATCGTACAATTATCGATTTTTGTCTCTCGATGAGAAAAATCTTCATATATTTGAATTTATAATATTTTCTTATTATACAAATGTATATTGTGAGCATTTTAAAAGATTAACATGTTTTGATTGAAGAATACTCTCTGTTTCATATTCTTTATTTTTTTCTATCAAGTGTATAATCGAAACTTTTGTATAAAAAATTTTGTTTGTTGGTATTAAAGTTATACCGACGAATACTTTATCCTAGAATATAAATCGATGCTCGTATATCGACATCATAATCTCTCTACTTCAAACGAGTCGATACAATGGATCTATTTTTTATAGCTGAACTGGCTGCATTAGTTCAGATTTTATCTTTTTCTTTCCATATTGATTGGAAGGAGAAAAATAAACTCTGAACTAGTGCAGCCAGTTTAACTATAAAAAATAGATCCATTGTATCGACTATAAAGAATTATAGTTTATCTGCTATAAAGTATTATCGGCTATAAAGAAGAGACCCAATATAACGATGCTGCTTGCTGGGTTTAACGACCTATTTTCGAATCAGCCCGCATATCTGCAATACAGTTAATGATAGTTGAAAATTTCACTTCCTTGATGTAGAACCGTGCGCGACGACGACGACGACGAATGCAACGGATGACGGCATTACGGGGCTAATTCGATTGTAATCGGCAATGGTGATCTCGATACCCATCTACGTCGACGATAGTTCTCCCCATCGTCGTCATCGTCGTTGGCAGTGATTGTGCTAGAAACTTCAAGGAGAAACACTTTCACTGTCACACGTCGAATCGGTCGATTGCAGCCTTTTACGCAACGCGACGACGACAAATGTCGAGAGTCGTTACGATGGACTGTTAAGTTAACGGTTAACGGTTCTCAGTTACATCAGCCCTTCGAAGTTATCTCGATGATTCAGAACACCCGCGACATCATTTTATTCGATAACTCGGTAGGATGCAGGGACAAAGAGATTCTTTAAAAAAAAATTCTGGTTATAATACAAATAGAATTATGAGAAATACGTTTAAACAAATAATTTATTAATGTTTAGTAAAATATAATAAATCGCTCGGACGTATTCGATGCAGAAGCCTCGAATAGAAAGTTCATAACTCGGAAAAAAATTATTTTTGATTGTAATTTACTTATAACATGTTATCATGGTATTTCTTGCTGTCTCATGTTCATGTGCAATATTCATGACGAAAACGAGAGCCGATATAGGATTACGCACATTGCAAAGACGTCAGATCGTCAAGTCATATATAAAACCCTCTGTCTCACGAATGAGCGTGTTATTCGCGAAATTTAAATAATGACGTGTTTGTTACCATTTTCTCAATGCCATCGACACACTGACTGGAGCTTCGACTTAATCGGCGTTTATGGCACCGCTAATTTATATCGTTTCGCTTTGCTCGTTTCACTAGTCAGCATGAAATAGTAAACAAGGACACTTAATGAAGCAAGAGAGCGCAGAGAGATTAATTCTATTAAACATTTATAAATTAAAATTTTAAAACAAAAGATTAAATGCATAAATAATTAAAGCTAATCGATAATTACAGAAAAGAGCTGCTATGAAAATTTTCTAACAGACTTTCACCGGAACTTGCAAGAAGCGTAACGACTCTTGAAACTCGTACATGAAATTAAAGATTCCTTATCGCACAAGCGTTATTTAAAAAAAAATCGAAATTACCAATACAAAATTGCAAAAATATCTACATTTTTTTTCAAAATACCAAATGTCGATATCTTTCGCGAAGATATCCCCTTAAATGAATCTAACTCGGCGATCAAGAAGTTAATAGGATAAAAGAGAAAAGAGAAAAGTTATAATTTATAATCATGATATAGAATCACACGATTCCCTCAATAATTTTTTTCGAAAGTCTCGCGATGCAGGCGAACGTGGCGATCTTTCTCTGATTTTATGATATTTGATTCCGTCTGCACTTTCATCGCGCGTACCACTTGTCATTTCTGACGAATAGACGAGGTTGTTAGTTTTCACGGGCATATCGCTTTCAAATAGCGGGGATATTTTATGCGATAAACGTACGAAGGAAATTACCGCACACAATTTCACTCTCAGGTATAATTCTTTTACCTAATAGCATCCAACACAGATGCATGTATGTATATCCCAAAGAATGTATGAAAGGTTCCATTGTTATCTTTTATGTTAAAGGAGTGTCGAGAGTGTCGAGACTTACTCGTGTTACATATTCAATATACAATCTTTACTTTGCACACATTTGTGACCTTCTAAGATGTGACCGATGGCGAGCTCTATCTTTCTTGTAAGTTTCCACACCCAGTACGATGCTGCCTTCGCTACAATTCGAGTAACGAGGTCGCATAATTCTCTCCATCGTAGTGAGTAATTCAATTATTCATGGAAATCCAGGGTCTTTACTAACAAATAGAAAAGAACGAGGCCACAGTAAATAAAGATCGATTCAGGGAATACATCGTGTTTACGCGAATATCAAGGATTTTCTCTTTGAGAAGCTCTCGAAATATATGATTTATCGTCGCAAAATATTGCAGAGTCCCGCATCAAAAAGACAATTTTCATAAAATAATAAAATTAATGAAAGTATTTGTATAATACATCAATCTCTAATTAATCGCAAGGCAGTATTAATTTGATTATCGATAATATCGACATCGTATTTTTATTACGTTATATTATATTTTTAAAATATTTATCTCGAAAATAATTTTTTAAAGATGATCTTTTCTAACGATACGACTCGTATCGAGAAAGAGAAACGCATTACTGCACCCTACAAACCGTATAAAGAAGAAAGTGATATCGGGCAAGGGAGAAGGAACGGGACAAAACTGGTATTGGCAAGGGGATCATAAGGTGATGGTTACGGCAAGAAACTTTCACGCGGTCTCGCGATCTTGACGCCGAGAGTAATATGCGATTCCTATTTTTCTCGATTTGTCCGTGAGATATCTCGCCGCGAATCGCATCGATACATCGTGTGAATCAGGAACCGCGCCCGATATAAAAAAAATGCCGGGAGTCACGCGGATCAAAGATACGCATGGATGAATACTAAGGAAACGATTATTACAGAATAAAAAAGGTGATATATTTGTCGCAAGGTCAGTGCTAGGGAAAACGTGCGAAGAATAGGCAAGGATTTATGAGATGTTACCTCAGAATCTACGAGATTGCGGTGATTATGAAATTGTCCGTGATCTTTTGCATTCGGATAGCGATAATAAAAATCTTTGATCCACGTAGTGAAAGTGACTTTTAATTCGTAATTTATACATTTAATTTCTGGGCAATATCAAATCGGCACAATCGTCTAAAAAATATAGAAAATTTAGAGCAAATTGTAAATCTTGCTTTTGAAAATGATTGAACGTAGTTTTTTTATGCAATATGGAATTAATTACAAGTATTTGTAGGGGGTCTACATTAAACATTTAAGATTCTACATTAATTTTATATCTATAATTCTTTTAAAGTATTTCGTTTATCTTAAAAAAGACAGTTTCGAACTGAGTTCTTTTTTATATAAAATAATCGACTTAAATGTAAATTATGCTGTTTTCTCTTTTTCCCGCGCCACGAATGACATTAGCGATACTTTGGTGTGTCATCGGGATTCCGAGACAGTGGTTCAACACGCGTGACAAGACATCGTAAGAAAGTTGAGTATTTTTCAGGGACCGGTTGAAAATAACGACAATCGTCCCACTTGCCGGTGGCATATATGCAATGTTCTTTGAATTCGGCCAGACACTTAACAGTGATTCTCAACTAATGTTCCGCGAGAAAATTGTTTCTCAAGTATAAATAAATTTTTACTTTATGTTTTTAAGAAAAGAATCATATTGCTAATTTATCTTACAAAATCTCGCGTTTATGTGAACATTGTATAATTTGTATTATTTTTATATGAGATTAATTTATTTTAAAACGCGCTAATAAGTTTGACAAAATATTTTGTTTAATAAACCTTAATTAATAAATGATAGAATTAACTTAACTAAACTAACTTAATTAAATAAACAATTCATTTTACAAATACATCGCAAACAATATGTTACATTTGTAAATTACAATTTTTTGATAAATTCCGTATTTTTTTCCGTATAAATAAGTAATATATTACTTTTTAATTTTCGCATGCAAAGAGAAAAACGCGCCAATCTAAACGTGGTAATTTTTTCGCGGCAACAAATTAATTATTACTTATCGCGCTAATTGCCCGCATGTTCAACACGAATTATAGTGTCACAAATATATTATCATGTACAATTATCGAATAATATTAATACCTGATTAGTTATCATTGTTACAATAGATTAAAATATCTCGCGATAAAAATATCCTTTTACGAGATAATATCCTTTCGAAGTTATCTTTCACCGGACACAGAGAGAAGAAAGATTATAGTATTTATAGTATAATCATTATTTTATCGATAATTGAATGCGCCTCATGATTATGCCGATTGATCCTTTTTTATTTAATCAGAGTTTAATTCAGAGATTTCTCAAATAGACAAAATTCGAGATACTAGAATTACTAGAAAGAAATAAATTTATATATATATATATATATATGGCGGCTTCCTTTCTCCTTTGTCTTACGAATTGAGAATTAACGAAGGTACACTCACCGCGAAGAACGTCGGCGGGTATCAGCCTCCGGAAGGTTTTGGGTCGTTCCTGCTCCTGGGTCCCCTCGGCGGCGACGAAGGCGACCGCGGCGCACAGCAAGGCAAACCTGACGACGGGCTTCATGATCTCGAGATCCGCGACAGATAGATTCACTGGGGCCTCTCCTTTAGGCGCGGGAGGGAAAGAAAAATAAAGCTTCTCGTTTCGATTAAGACTGGTTGGGCCCGATTCCTGTGGCGGCATTTTATAGCCGACTATCGGGCGGGGTCCCTGTTATCCCCACCAGATCAACGTAGTCTCTCACCTCTTGAACTACCAGTCACCGAAGGATCGCTCGCAACCGGAGCTCGAGTGGTGCCGGAGACATCAGAAGTAAACGCGCGGGGTCCATACAGTAGATAGGTAGGGGATGCATCCTACATATGACTAAGTGATTGTATTCGATTCTTATTGTTAGTGTGAAATTTACCTGATAGAAGAACTCAAAGTATCTGGCTATAAAAAATATCTGCTATATAATATATAAGGAAATAAACATCTGTGAGAAAAGAGTTTATATTTTCGAAAAAAATTATAATTGGCAATTAATTTATTTTTTAATCAGACATAAAGTGTGAGATATTATTTCGAGTACTTTGCTTCGATTCGAATAAAATGTTGAATATCTTATTTTAAATTCGCGCTCATGCCTTCTGTACATTCATTTAAATCAGGTGTCAGTAGCGTAGATAGTTTATAGATCGTAAATGTAGACGCATAATATAAGCGAGATTAATTGGTGGATAACCACTAATTATCGCGAAATTGCTATAAATACGTGTCCGGAAATTAATAAGTTGTTGTCAACTTTCTCATCTCCATTCATTAGAAAATCTTGACGTGAGTATCTATTAACTCTTTTTCAGGCGCAATGTTAATACAAAGTTCTTATCTATTTTATCAAAGTATATAATACGGAGTTTCGTATCGATGAAAACATCATATAATTATATTATGTAGAAAGATATATATGCCTCGCTATGAGTTACTCTGTACAAATATATAAATAGAAAATTAATATCTATGCATGTGTATGGTCTTTAATTATTCTATTATTAAAAATTGAGACTCGCCGATTCCCACAAAGCAGAGATTTTAATTTATTATAATACATACACTCTATATGTTAAGATGCATGCATACTCGTTGCGGTTTCGTGCGCGCTACATGCAAGAAAATAGTTATCGCGTTAGGATAATAACATAGGCAATTCATACTATTCATTTTCAGCAATTACGAGGACTTAATAACGGCATAACATTCATTGAAATATGAATATATATGATAAAATACTATATTCTAATACGGGATTTGGATCTCATTTATACGTTAATGAAAATAAAAGGCGTCTATGTCACCAAAAATGAGTCACAAGTTTAATTTTATAGACCATCATGGAATCTTACCATCTCTTGTATATTGAATATCTCAGGAATTATAATTGCTAAATAAATTCTGCAACTCTAAAAGTTGATAGATTTAATGGATTTTTTTACATTCTGTGCTCTCTGCTTAAAATCGAAATTTATCGCAATGAATAATTTACGAAGTGGGTGTAATTATACTATTAATACTCGGATTAATAACGGCATAACATTCATTGAAATATGAATATATATGATAAAATACTATATTCTAATACGGGATTTGGATCTCATTTATACGTTAATGAAAATAAAAGGCGTCTATGTCACCAAAAATGAGTCACAAGTTTAATTTTATAGACCATCATGGAATCTTACCATCTCTTGTATATTGAATATCTCAGGAATTATAATTGCTAAATAAATTCTGCAACTCTAAAAGTTGATAGATTTAATGGATTTTTTTACATTCTGTGCTCTCTGCTTAAAATCGAAATTTATCGCAATGAATAATTTACGAAGTGGGTGTAATTATACTATTAATACTCGGAAAAAAAAAAAACTAGTATTATGATCATAATTTTTTTAGAATACATTTTACACACTAAAAATAATTTCATATATACTCGCATTCTATAATTTAATACAATAATTTTATATTTTACTTAACATTGATACTCGGATGATCAATTGCGTTCTTCTTGGTAGTCGTTTCTATAACTTATCCGCGAAATTTTTGCTTGGATACAGGCAAAAAAATTAGGTAACAGACGATAAATCTTAAAACGTCATTAATACGAATTTCTCGAAAGGACTTGCAATTAACATAAGTGTTAGTAAACGCGAACGTTAGGAAAGCTGTGAACAGCTGATTCATTTTAGCGTGAAGGAATTGCTTAAAGGCGCGCGACCTATTTGTATAATATAAATCGTATGTTTTGCAAGTAACGCAAGATTACACGGAAATGTTAGGTAATATTACGCGTTGCATAATACATTCAAACCGCATGCGTAGAATTGACTCGCGAATGTATAATTTTTTAATTCGAATGCTAATCTTTTATGTACGAATATGTTCCATTGTCGAATGTCCCGTACAAAAGATTATACGCATACTTAGCGATATTAATTTATCTGTGAAAAAAATATAGCCATAAATATCTTATATGTTTCTCGAAGGTATCGCGAGAAACATCTAACAATAAATCGATATCGAAGGAAATCGTGCATAGGGGAAGGTCATCAAAATGAAAGATTCGGAAATAAGTTTAGATGCTATAACAATTTAATTCCATTCTTACACAATTTTCTGCCTGATGTAATCGATTTTTTTTGTAAATTTTTGTTTGTCAAATCGTGCACGCGTTAATCTTCCGTCTCGCTAGTCCATTAATATTTGTCGCTTAAAGGGCTCTTCCGCGTGTGCATTGGTATGCAGTATCGGGGGGAAGGGAGGCGGGTGAAATTGCATTACTCGTTCTCACCACCCTTGCAACCCGAAGCTCTCGGCCGAGGCGTCGGCCGAGGCAGAAGCGGAAGCCACGGAGAGTCCCCGCTTGCCGCTGATGCTGCCGGCGTCGGCGCTGGCACTGGAGCTAGCGCTAGCTGCCGACGACGATCTCGCGATGCCACCATGTACGAAACCTTCCTTGTATTCGTGACCTCGACTGATCTTGACGGCTTCAACCTCGCTCTTGGTCAGACCCGCGGTGACGCTGACGATCTTGGGCAAAGGGCCGGGATCGATGATCTCGCCTTTCTTGGCCCAGCTGTAGGCTGCGATCTCAGCGGTAGAACCGGCGTCGGTAGCTATGGCTTTGGTCTCGGCAGCACCAGCGGCACTGGAGCGCGCCACACCCACGCGATTAGTCAAGTCAGCGCTGGCCTCGGCGGAGGCGGAGGCGACGGCGCGGGCGTTGCTGGCCGCGGCGGCGGCAACTTCGGCGTTGATACGGGTATTCTGGGCCTTGCGGGTTAATGCAGCGGCTTCCTGCTCGATGACAACAGCGGCCTCGGCGATGGCCAAGGCGGCGGCGGCTGCCGTCTGGGCGGCGTTTGCCTTGGCTTCAGCCTCGGCGGCGGCGGCGGCCGACGCTTGGGCGCGTTCGTTGGCCGCGACAGATTCCTCGTTGGCGCGTTCTTCGGCGGCAGCGCTGGCTCTTGCGGCCAGGTCCAGCTTACCGGCGGCCGCTCTTACGGCGGCGACATTCTCCTCGACTATCCTCGCTGCCTTGGCGGCGATAGCCGCCTTCTTGACGGCCGCTGCCGCCCTGTTGGCCACGTCTACCTCGGCTTGGGCCGCCGCCTCGACCAGGGCGACCGCGTGGGCAGTACTCTTGGCGGCTAGCTCGCATGATTTTGCGGCGATCGCCGCTTGGCCGGCGGCAGCGGCTTGCGCTTCGGCGGCTGCCTGCCCGATGCCGAGTCCACGGGAAAGTGCCTCGGCGGACGCGGACGCGGTGTTAGCGATTCCGGTGCCGACCTTCGCTCCTTCGATCGCGATCCCGGCAGCGCTCTTCTTCTCGTGTTTAACGTCACCGTGGGGAAGAATCCAACCGCCTTTGCTGCTGGTCGACGTGCTGGCAGACGCGCTGGCGGACGCGCTGGCGGACGACTTGGAGGCAGTCAGCTTGCTACCGGACGTGGACGAGGACGCACTCGCTTGGGCAGCCGCCGCCGCGCTCGCTTCCGATTCGACGAGCTCGCTGGCGCCGACAAGACCCCAGACGAGGAGGGACGTCGCAAGTATCGCTGGAATCTTCATCTTGGAAGCTACTTCGCAGGATTGATGCCGGCTCATCGATCGTCCACCGATTTTATACCGTAGCGTGCCATTTGTGAAAACAGCCTGTTGTGCATCCGCGACTCGCGCACTCCTCCAAATATTATCACAAGATTGTCGCCGATCTCTTTATTTCGTCAATCCTATTTGCTTAAGTGCGTCCGTTTTTTTTTTTTCTCCGATTTATATTTTTTCAAATCGACAACATGCCGTGCGACCGGAAGAAATTTAGATATGAGTTCTTAACATTTGGAAAAATCATATTCCACGTAAAGAACTATCATCCCTTTAATGCAACTCTTTATTTGTTATAAAATTAATTAATTTATCTTATTTTTCTGCACTTAACGAAGATGGATATTTGCTCATTGAATCGAATATTATCTAAAAAATTATATTTTTTGTAGAAGCTAATTAGACACGCAGATTTTACGGAAAAAGATAAGAGGTTTGAGGAGAGGTTTATATTATTTTTAGAAATAGCTAATATTAATCTTTTTATATGGCAGCAAGAAATGTTCAAGAATATTGCTATTATACATAGATCGTGATATTAAAATATGTGCATAGTGTTAAATGGCGCGCGCGAATTTAAGTCAAATTAATCTTTTACAATTTAATTATGAGTATTATTTAATCATTGACATATTAAACAAACTAGAAAGACAATTGTTTGATAAAGTTACAAGTTAAGATATTCTTTTCTTTTATTAAAGTTCTGTCGGTTACTTTTCGGATATAATAGATTTACATTTATATTTTAATATTTTGTCATATAATCGAATAATAAAAAAATATGATATAATCTCATATAAATTTAAACTTTTATATAATTTATATTATATACATATGTGAAGTATCATGTAAAGATTACAGGAAATTATTCCTTTATGTTAGAATATGAAAATATTTTTAGAAACAGATGTGTTGATTCATGAAACTGAAAAATAGACATACAATTAGATAATTACATATATAATTATTTATGAAATTCTTTAAATTATTTCAAGTTTATCTGAAAATTTATTAAAAGAAAATTTTTCGGTAAAGTAAAAAAGTAAGTAAAAAATTGCTATAGTCGTCTTTTACTACATAAAGCTTAAGACAGATATAAAGCTATAGAGAATAATAATTGATATTTTTATTGTAGTCATCTATCAAACTTCCTTATTGTGATTTAAAATATATTATTAATTTTAAATGTGTTCAAAGTATAATAAACATACTGACTTTTATAAGCGATTAACATATAGTTATAGATATATTTATATAAGATATTAAAGTAAAATCTTTCTTTATTAAATATTTTTCTTGCAATTTGTATAAATGCTATATCGCTTACCGATTGTTATCTGAATAGGCAATACTGTTATCAATTATCGAGGAAGTTGTAAGATTAAAAAATATACAACAGCTGAAAAACTAAATTAGCGGATATCAATTAAAATTATTTTGATTTGCCTCGCGACATTTTATTTGCAGTTAACAGAACGTTACGGGCAAATATTGATCATTTTAAAATCTGATAATGTACACACATCTGGTATACCATCCGGCGAGTCACAAAATAATATAAAAAGAATATTTATATTTGATATTTTTTAAATGCTCTCGATTATATTGGATAGACAATTTTATTATTAGCAGTTTTAGAATGTTTTAGAATATGAATTATTACATAAATATGAAATATTACATAAATATGAATTATTTTAATAATGTGCAATTTCATATATTTATTTGCATAAATTTATATATTACTTAAACATAATAGATATAGCACGTTTATTGTAAGAAAAATATTCTCTATTTTCCGTATAATTATTATTCATTTTTTATTTAATATAATTA